TAGGCTGTTCTTAGGCTGTTTTATGCCATCTGTTGTCTTTATTATATACTAAGGATTATAACTGGTGATTTTATTTATCCTATCAAATTCCAATGCATGTTCCTCTTGAATGGAAAAGTGGAGGACAAATTTGGGATCTTATTTTTTTAAAATATGAATTTACCCTATTCATACCTCCCAAACCTCATAATATCAGCATCTTTCTGAATTTTGCAATGTGATTCAATAAACAAATGTGCATATTTGGGAAAGTATATAAAATGTTTTGCATTAAAACATTTTTATTTAAATTAAAACAATTTAATTCTAAAAAAAAAATAATTAAAACACCTCAACCACTTGGTCACCTATGCCAGCGGCATCCACAACAGCCAGATTGATTTTGTCCTCATGTGATGACATAACTTTCCCATTATTATGGATGTAAAGGTCCTTCCATCTGACTTCCTCACCCTGCAACACAAGATGCTTGTTGCCAATATGAAGATCAGCAGGAATCCAAAGAACGGCAGCAGCCCGGCAGGTCCAGAGAAAATCAAGTGCTAGAAGCTACAAGACTACAAGGTTGCCATCATTAACCGCATTGCATTTCCTCCAGTCACCACAGGCTCAATGGACACCGCGTGGACTGCTCTCTGTGAGTCCATTACCACTGCTGCAAGAACCACTCTAGGCACTACGAGGTCAGGTTGTCATCAAATCAACAAGCAGGTGTGGCTCTGGACAAAGCAAGTGCAGCAGAAAGTATGGGAAAAAGAGGTGACTTACAAGAACTGGTATGTGCAGAAGACCAACAAAAACTGGCAAAAGTACCTCACTGCAAGAAGAATGGCAAAGAAAGCTGTTGCAAAGGCCAAAGCCAATCACTACCAGGATTTATATGAGCAACTGGACACAAAGGAAGGCAAGGAAAACAACTATTGACTAGTGAAAATGTGTGCCAAGGCAGCAAAAGACATTGAACATTATGTGTGTGTTAAGGATAAAAATGGATGGCAACTGCAGGATAAGCTCAAAATCCTGAAACGCTTCCAGAAGCATTGTGACAAAATCTCTAATGTTGAATTCCACACCTGCCAATTCCTAATGGCTTGGCTAATGCTGGCCCAATCCTGTGGATTACACCTGAAGAGGATACCAAAGCTATCAGTGGCTTATAGAATTCAAAAGCACCTGGCCTGGACAATCTATCAGTAGATGACTGGAAGCTGAAAGAACTTTGTGGCACAGCAGCTGACTGGCTGACAAACTTCTTCAATGCCACTGTGGACTCTGGCCAAGTGCCTGCTGACCAGGCCATGAGTATCACAGTTCCCTTCTTCAAGAACAAAGGTGACCTGGCAGACTGCTCCAACTACCAACCAATCTGCCTCTTGTTGCATACAATGAACATTTTTGAGTGGATCCTCAACCAGTGCCTCTGTGACATCATCAAAATCAGTATCAACCAGTCCAGTTTTGTCAAAGGCTTGAGTACCACCGACACCATTTTTGCAGCTTGCATGCTCATGGAGAAGCAGAGAGAAAAGAAGAATTCATTACACCTGTCTTTCCTCGACCTAGAAAAAACTTTTGACCATGTTCCATATCAGCTGATATGGTACATGCTATGTGACCATGGTGTGCTTGAGCTACTCATAAAATGGGTCCAGATGGTTACAGCTTTCCTTTGAAAGTTGGTGTGCACCAAGGCTTGGCATTATTACCAATGCTGTTCATTCTTGTCATGGATACCATCATACAAGACCTGCATCACAGAGCCCTCCTGGGCTTTGCTTTACACCGACGATGTCCTGCTTGCAGCTACCACCAGGGAAGAACTGCAGTGCTGCATCCAGACATGGAACTATGGTTTTAGCCAATTTGATTTGTGCCTCAGTACAAGAAGACTGAGTATTTAGAGATTAGCCCAAGGACCTCCACCATTCAGGTCAGTAGCAAAGATCTAGTGAAGACAAACTCCTTCCATTACTTAGGATCCCACCTGCAAACCAAAGGTGGCATTAATGGGGAAGTGTGCGTGAGGGTGAATGCAACATGGCTACTGTGGAAGGAGATCACTGAAGTGCTCTGTGATAGGCACATGCCAATTCACCTTAAATTGAAAGTGTATAGAATGATGGCCTGCCCAGTAGCATTGTATGATGCTGAGTGCTGGCCAACCACCAAAAGTGCTGAGAGCCCCTTACATGCCATAAAGATGCATATGCTCCATTGGTCATCAGGTGTTTCCCTTCTCAACAATGTCAGCAATGACACGGTCAGGCAGCAGATGGGCAATAATAGAGAAAATGCAGGAAAAACGCCTACAGTGCTATGGCCATGTTCTATGAGCAGCACCCACACCATCACCTGCACTGCCTATCATTTTAATACCGAAGGCAAACACCTGCATGGAAGACCAAAGCAAAGGTGGCAGGACACAGTTAACGGAGACACGAAAATAATCCAGTTGGACCCAGTTGCTGTGTTCAATCATGTGAAATTGCATTTGTTAATCCGAAAAGCATACCTTGCACCTGTGGGAACAATGCTAGGATGATGATGATTGATGATGATGATGATGATGATGATGATGAAACAAAAATTCAACAAAAAATTGCAAGAAGTGCATTAAGTAGGAATGTGATAAAAAGTTAAATATTAGGAAAATGTAGATATAACATATAAACAAAAATGTGTACAAATTTCATATAAACTATTTTCCCCTACCAATGCAAAATTATTCATGAATGGGTCAAAAGAACTTATGTTTTGGAAACAGCATATTGACAGATTTGCCAGTTCCGTTGGCTTTATTTCTGAATCAGATCAAATCCAGTAAAAAATCAGACCTCATTTTTTTTTCTGAAGTAATTATTTTTTTTAAACTACTCATCCTGACAATTTTTATAATGGCTTTCAGAACCTTAACAGGAATTTAAAACAGCTGAATGAAGAGAAATTGACATTAATTTGTCATACCAAAATATGAACCCTTGGAAGAAGTATCTCTAATTCTCCCTTTATGTTCTAAAATCAAAAATACAAATGTATTATATGCTACCTTACTCATCAAAGCGACCTGAAAACTATCCCTAACTCAACCACCTTAATACTGTTTATGCAAAGAAGATAAGTTTTTTGAGAATGAAGTCAGTGAAAGCCAGAGACTATAGCTTCATCTTGCAGTTTAAATCTGATTTTATTTGGAAGGTTGAATAAAAGGTGAAGAGAAAAAGGTAGGCTGGCACAGAGAATCAAGTAATAAAGCAAAGAAGGAACCAATTTAACAATGTGATACAGAGAGTCTATACCTCAGCAGGAGACTAAAGGCCAAGAGTGCATGAAAACACTTGAATATGATGGAACCTCCATCACATATGAACCAACGCCACTTCCTTGAAGAATTAAAGAATCGGTGCTTCAAGAGAACAGAGTTGATACACCTGATTCAGGTGATTTCTCGTGCATGCCGGAATAAGAGAGCTTCAGACAAAGATCTCCATATTCTGGTGCATCACAAAAAGCTGCATCCAGCATACAAAGCAATTATTTGTTCGGCACTGTTTTCCTGTGAGATAATTGCATGAATTGTGATGTGTGAGATGAATCTCCAAAGACAATATTCAGTGTTCTATTCATCCTTAAGATGAAAAGGGAGAAAGCAGAAGAAGGGAACTATGAGTTTTGCCTCCAAAGGAGGCTCACTCCTCAGCGTATTGGTGTTATTGCATACTTAACCACCACAGGGCATCTCTAAGCAGCCAAAAGAAAAAGGAAGAATTCTGCAAGATTTATTTGGTTTTGTTATACAGGATGCTGGCCGTAAAGAGCTTTTGTTAAACCTAAAGACTTTTATGAACATAAAATCAAATTAAACAGCACATTAAGGGTTCTATCTTTTCTGACTGATGTGCACGCGCAAACAACTCTCATTAACAGTAATGGCAGTTACGCACGCGCATCACTCGGAGAACAGATCCCTAAGTGCTTTATTGTTTTTCCTGGAGATTTTTCTCTATTGGACTTTAATTAAGCTCCTGCTAGGCTTACAAGTTTTCCATTTTTTTCAGGTTTTCTTTTTGCAAAAGAAAACAAAAATGAAATCGGTTTCTTTGCCAGATAAGATTCCTCCCCACGCCCCCCCGTTACAATTACGGCAAAGATACCAAAATTAAAGATCTGTCAGAAACAGGACACCTGCCCTGAAAGGGAAATCAGGCCACCCTGAAATAGATTTGCCAAACTGAGAGGAAAAAAGAAAATGACTTGGCCTGCGATGGTAACAACTGCTTGATTGACACAAATCAGCAGGTGAAACTTTTCATGCTTTTGATGTTGATAAACCTGCTGTTGACAATGCAACTGCAGGATGGCAAACCTAAGCTGGCAAAATAATAATAATAATAATAATAATTTGGAACAGCTTACATCCTGCGACGATACCTTTAACACCATCAAACAACAACATCTGCCTATCCCAGTCCTTGGGAAGGACTCGATAGGTGGATAAAAATGCCAAAGCCAGTGTAAACATCTAGCTGACTGTGTGACCAGCAATAATAATAAAGAATATGTTAGAAAATGTATTATGGACACCATGAATACATACATTTGGGATTGTAGAAGACAAATCTTTCACTGTATTGCTATTATAGACACAATTTCCTTTTTCTGAGGCATGCATATACTGTATAATATTTCAAATTATGAATATTAATCCTGTCTAACAGTGTCATGTTTGGGGTGCATGAATTATGAGCATAACATGTCGAAGACATCACACATGCAATTTATTATTTCTCTCAGTCTGCTGAGCTTTTCTAAGACAGCCCACTTCCTTAAAATATATTGATAAATGCCAAAGCAATTCAAATAAGATATGAGATCATGGATGAAGGTAGGCAGAACAGGTAAAAAACATTCCGGATGCATCTCTTCTGATCTGAAGCCTTTTTTTTTTTTTAGAAAAAGTGCATAGGTATTTAATTAACTACTACTGTATGTGATGTACTTACTTATTGCCTTCACAAACTGTTCAAAGAAGCAGTATGGGAACAGTGGCTCAGACAGCTCTCTGAAAAACATCTTGAGTGCTCCGGTGACAACGTGGATGTCCTCCCACTGGCTGTCGTCCAAATTCAGCTTCTCTTCTGGGAAAACACGAGGAGAAATGGAACAACTGGTTTTAATGAAACAATTACAAGACACTAATTATTATGTTAATGTTTGCCTACTATCATCAGCAACCGTTAACAGCCTTCTGCACCTAGAGGTTTGGTGCTGTGCATGGTTTTTTTTCTCCTTCTTTCTTTTTTTTCCGTAGGAAGAGAACATTTTCAATGGAATACCATCTGTAGGAATGCAGCGAACAGAAAAAACAAAAACAAAACAAAACCCCCCAAAACAAGAACAAGATGCACAATGAGACCGTAGCATTGACACAGTATGTCAAATACATTTATTCCCAGAATGCATCAGTAGAAAAAATTAGCATCACAGCTCAACATGATTCAAAGCTATTTGATTTCAAGGCCAAGGGGCTAAGAGTTGCCAATGATGACTGGCTCAAGGGACTGGCCTAAAGGCCTTGCTGCGTCAACAGGAGACATATGCTAAACACAGGAATACAAAATGAGTTCTTGCTTTACATGTGTTACTCTTACTATGTACAAGGGAATAATGGGCAACACTTTTTTCCTTCATTTTTTTTTTTTTCTGAATGCAATGCCATCAAGGAATTTGGGGAGGGGGTGATGTTAATTCCCGCTTCAAAAATATTTTGTTTGTTTTTTTAAAACTCTAGAAAGATTCGCCCAGCAACAATATTAGACAGACCCCTGTTGGCCTACCTAAGCTATGCAAAGCTGTCAAAAATGATAACACGCTAAAGACAAACCATACATGCTTGCAAAACTGATTTTCTGAACAACAGAAATCCTTTCTTTTGAAGCTTGACTGAGCTGGAAATTTAAATATAAAAGGAGAAGAAAGGCAAAAAATAATTTTAATAGAAAAGATTGGGAGATTATTACTTTTCTTTCCTTTGAATACTTGTTAGAAACATCTGGTATTATTTTAAGCAACAATAAACTACAGACCTGACAAAACTCACAAAAAGTGAAAAAGCCTGTCGCTCTGAATTAAAAGGAAGTAACATTTTCTATAGTATCACCTGTTCCCCCAAATGACAGAATTCTTTAAAAAATAGCATTGTTTTTACTGAGATGTTTGCTTAATATGTTAGAGAACAATCCACAACAGTTTTTAAAACATATAATCCCAGTAATTTTGCCAAATAATTAAGTAGGCCTTATTCAGCTTCGGTAATATTATTCATAGTCATATGTGGAAAAAATATTTTTTAAAAAGACTGTGTACATTATTTCTTTCTAATATTTGCTTCTTTTTGTAAAAGGAATTTAAATTTAAGATAAACCTGACTTTTTTTTTTTTTTTGCATTGACACTCATATGTCTTTTTAGGTGAACCAATTTTTTTTTTTTACTTTATTCATTGAAAAGTATAGTTTTAAGTATTTTTTTAAAAAAGTGATTAATCAATCATGCTGACTTTACATCCACACAGAAACAATTCACTCTTGAAATGTAATAAAAGAGTGGGCTTAAAAACAAAGCAAGCAAATCATCAAACACCTTCAAGATCAAATTTGATTGATTGTATTTCAACAATTAGCCTTTTATTTATTTATTTTCTCAACACACCATTCAAATAGACAGGCAGTGACTTAGCAGGCCAGTTTTACACAGTTGTCTACTCACAATAGCATCAAAAGAAGAGACCTGATGGGGTTTACTGTCACTTTAAAGAACAGGGTGGGTTTTCACATTGTTGAAATCTGTCAGATATTTTGAAATGTCCTTCTCACTATGGTGCCACACCCCCTGCGTGCCCTTATAATAAAATTGGTTTTACTCCTGATTAAATCATTTTCTCCCTACCCTCTACCATACTTCTCATAATGGACCTGTGTGCACTACAGCTGGTGTTCTTCCCATGGTACCAATTCTTACTTTATCTTTTAAGCACTTTGCTGCTAAGATCTCATGCAGAGTGCTTATGTTTTGTTAAGAGCTTCATTCTTAGAGAAATAGCTTAACACATGTTCTAAAAATGTTGTACAACTTATTGCTTAAAACACATTTTGATAATGTATAAGCACTGTAGCTCTGGCACAAATCTTTAAGTAGAAACCATTAAAAAAACAGAACAGAAAAAAAAAATCTCTGGCTTGGGAGCTTTTTTACTCCCCCCCCCTCCCATGCATTTGGTTGAAACATCTAAAGTGGAATACACTGATTTGAAGACATTACCAAGAATTATCTACCCAGATTTTTGCACTGTTTCCAGATCTTCAAAGAAAAGTGTTAGGAATTATTATCTTGAAAGCAAAGGGTGTCATTTTACCCTCAAGCAATAAAATTACTAAAAAAAAGTTTGCTGAAAGGAAGCATGCCAAATTAATAGGAAATTAAACTTCCCCCTCCTCCCCACCCAAGGTACTTCTTTAATTTTTGTCATTAGCCACAGGAGACATTTGAATCAAGCTGAATGTAGACTATAATAGGACTTCTTCAAGTGTGGCTTTCTTGGGCGAGAACTGTCAATCTTGTATCAGTTGCAAGGGGTGTATGGTTTATGTTTGCATATACTATACATATACTATGGACAGTATATGACAAAATGTGTGAATCTGCAGATAATATTAACCAAGCAAATTTGTTTAGTATTCTTTTTTTGTAACAACACCTGCAAGAAAATTTTTCAATAGATCATCATCTCATTAAGAAGTCTGCTCCTTCATACAGCTTTCTAGGCTGCTAGAACTCAACCAAGCCTTATAGCTTTTTTTTTTGTTTACTCAAATGATATACAACTGTCCTTAGTTTCTGGCATCCAGTCAATCTTTATCAGGCAGTTTTCAAAGACACCTTTTATACTTTTAAAAGAATAATGTACTTATCTAAATCACAAAGTTCCCCAAACATGCTGATATATCCATCTTATTTTTCAGTAGCACAATACAGTCTCCATTTCTGTCTGCACTAGGACACTGTGCAATTAGGGCTTATGATGATAATAAACAATAACAGGATTTGCAGCATGGCCCCTGGGGCTATCACTGTACATCTGACTCAGAACAATGCTGGATCACTGTTTTGGGTTTGATCTGAAGAGTGCTCTAGATCATAAGTTGGCCAGTTCATGTCCCCTGATATTAGTGGCAGATTAACAGACAAAGTATTGGAATATGTAAGGTCCCATTCTGAGTGAAGGAAGGGCTTTATTACACTTCTGAGTATGAATGAGAGAATACAAATATGATGAATATGAATTTTGGTCAGACTTACAGAAAGGAGTACGGTATAGCCTGTGTGGTAAACAAAAAAAAATAGAGAATCTCATCACCCCCGCCCCCACCTAGTAGGGAAGGTAGAAGTTATAAATATATGCATATATAGACTGAAGGAAAGGAGGAATGATTAGATTCAAGCGTGGAAACCTTCTTTCTTGGAGGGTTCGGGTACCTGGAGATCTGATCTGGAACATGGATTGACTGCTTGCAGCAACACTATTTTTTCTGCATCCAGCTGATCTTAAGTTGTATATTCATAAATATATCTGGCATTATAGAAATGCTGTATGTCTCTGGTGCTTTCTCCTTCCAAAAGGAGGAAGTGTTGCCTCTGAAACTTCTCACCTCTAAAGCAGAGTTGCTATTTGGGAGCAGGGAGAGAGGTACCATAACATAAAACAACAGCCATTTACATTTTCTGAACATTTTTGGAAATAACCCTTCATCAGTTAAAATCCATCTCCTGTCATATTACAGTATGTTAAGATTACATTGTCAGAGACCTCCCTGCTCCTTTTTCAGTGTGCACTCTTTATAGATGTAGAAGTATTAAAGTAGGGGCTTGGATTCTGAAAGGGCTTCCTCTCTATTTTGGTTCTGGAAACTGCCAGCTACAGAGAAAAGGTCATTGACTGCTCCCTAGGAGTCAGGAGGTATTCTTATATATTGTCTCACCTAGCTAATCGGATTCCTAAGGGATTGTTTTTCAAATGTTCCTTTTGGCAGAAGACTGAAGAGACCTTAATTAAATCTCTATGCTTGACTAAATACATAGGTATTCATAAGCACATCCCCAAAGGGTATACCTGGCTGATTTTGCTCATCAGTACCCCTCTGGACATGTGTTAATTCTTCTGTCTGCTTTAGGAGGGCAATATTCCCATCTGCCTTTTTAAAAATAGATATTTCAAAATCTATTTCTAGAGACTTTCGTAACTGTTTACATTTGCAACATCTTGTAACATATGGCAGCTTTCTATGCATCTTCCTGTAATTTACATAAACGCTTGTGTAAATTATCCAGGAACCCTTTTTTTTTTTTTAATGCAAATCACCCTGCTTTCATTCTCTGATGTGTGTATGTGTGAGTATGTATGTATGTACAGTATGTATGTTCCTCTGTTCAGGCTCTTCAAATGCAAATTCTTCCAGTGTAACCTCTGTTTTTAAATGTGGTTACCACTGTTTGCATACAACTTTCAGTACCATACTTTTCTATCAGATGTGTGTTGCTGTGCATTTATGGATGTTTGATTTGGGAAAACCAGTCACTAATGGACTTTGCACTATTTGCACTACTGCAAAGTCTTGTGGCTTAGGAATGCCCAAATTACCTTCCAGGAGAAGCTGCACTGGAGGGGCTTTTTTGTTTTGTTTTACTCCCACCTGGATTCCATAATACCAGTTATGCCAGCCTTAGCCCAGACAACTAGATGAAATCCAAACAAGAATGTCTAACAGAGAGAGAGAGTATATATACCACCAGAAAGTGTCTTGTACGCACACCAACATTTTAATGCCGGCAAATAATAATGCAACATAGCTTGTCATAAGTGAGACATTCTAAACAGGTAAGAATAAAATAGCTTGGGTAGCCTTCGTAGGACAACCAAAGAAATCATAACAACAAAATGATTCATTTCTTAAGTCTTCTCTTTTCCCTTTCCAATGAAACAGCCATATGGCTACAAGTGACAGATCACAAGCACGTTGGGTCATACTAATATCATGCTAGTCTTATATCTGATTTACAACAATATCCAATTAATTTGCTTCTGAACTCAAAAGAGTATTATGGAGATGGAGGCAAATATTGTATCTTCCATCAGATGCATTGAGAAATGCTGCTTCTGAAGATGGGGCTTTTGCTTATCTATTGTAGCTAACAGCTGATAGAGTTGTCTTCCATCCTTTGGCCCTACTATCAGTTTCCGATGGGTTAGCCTACCTACCGCAGATCACGTAATTAAGAACAGGATCAAACAAGGAATACCCCACCGATAGTGCCATCAGAACATATCACCCCAGGTCACCAATAAAAATGAGACAAGGCTTATGTTGTTTAGGAATATGAGCTATGATGCTTCTTACCAATAATACAAAAACTGTATTTAATTTCTCCAGAGTGTTGGCTTCTATCACTTCAAACGGGTGACTACTGAATGGAAAATTGATGCAGCTACTTAACAACATTTTGACGTAAATAGATGTTAATGCAGATCCAAGAGGAAGAATGTTGCCTATGTAGGCATTCACGCATTACTAGAATACCCATTTCCATGGTGCTTACGGCTACATTAGTGAATAACTGTAACTAAAAAGCACATGTTCTGTGCCTGTTGGAGGGCTTTTGTTTATTACAGTTCTCTGAAACTTCAGTTCATGGACCTGAGGGCAAGCTGGAAAAACCCGGTATTGCTAATTTAAATCTTAATTGGAGTTAGAGGGAAATAAGATTATATTGGGGTATGCTTATTCTTGGAGGGATTCCACTGATACCATTGAGTCACACTGATCAGAGATGAACTCTGCCATTGTTTCCGCATGAGGAAGTTCACAATATCCAGCAAAACCACAAGCAGTTCAGAACACATACACAGTGAAAAGAGCCTTGTTCAAAAGGTTTCTTGAAACACACGTAACTGGCAATCCAAATTAGACTTGATCTGTTGTCACTGCGCCATTATCTAAACGCAGACAGATATATGGAAATATGGAAGTATGAATAAATGACACAGGTAATTATTATCAAACTATCATAGGCTTACCCACTCTTCACCTTCTTTGCACACCATTTTAAGAATGTAGCACTTCTATACATAGTTCTCATGTTCAGTGACTTTGATACTGTGATTTTATAAACAGCTGCAATGTTACATAAAGTAGCTTGCACTGATGTGACTATAAAAATTGAGCATAAACCAGTTGGGCACATTCAGTCTACTATGCTGGCTTGCTGTTTGTAGTCTTTTCATATTAAGTCATTGCTGCATTAAAATTGACTGTGGAACTGCCTGAGCAAGTACAAATACAATATCTGGAGCTGAACCCAAATCTAATAGACTGCTAGTTGATAGTCTGCTGGAGGGAGTCAGGAACTGTCATGCCTCTGCATTGCTCAACCTAGCTGAGAAATCCTTTAAACATACTTGCACCAGGAACCCTGACTATGCAGGGAAAGAGTATCTGTTAGTGGCTATTATATCTGTAAGCGAGAGAGAGAAAGAGAGAATGTAACCTCTTTCAGGAGGAAAAGTTGCCCAGCAATTCTGAGCTATCAGCAAGCTGGAACAAATCCCAGTTTTCAATATATGGAGCGTAGCAGTAGCCACAGTTCCCCAGAGACCCAAGAAAGTCAACATCAGTGCTAGCAATGCTGTTACAGAATATATCCGTGGACAATGAACTACAAAGTCCACAGCTAATATATTTGGCTTTATTCTTCCTTTGTTGTTCATTGCTCAGAGTTTTGAGTGATTGAGGGGGTTTACAAATACCAGTAAATAAATAAATAAATAAATAAATTCAACATGCTTGTAGAATGAGCCAGCTTATTACCTATATTTCTGCTGATTATTAGGTGTAAAAGAATTATATGAAAATGCTGTATTAATGCAAGAGAAAATATTCCAATCATATAGGATCGGTTGCCTATGTATTCATATGATAACTGGCAACCTATCAAAAACAGGTGTAAAAGAATTAGATGAAAATGCTGTATTAATGCAAGAGAAAATATTCTAATCATATAGGATCGGTTGTCTATGTATTCATATGATAACTGGCAACCTATCAAAAACAAGCAAACAAGCCACCAAACTGAGAATTGCTACAAACTGCTAAAAAACATGTATGTGCTAATCTAAAAGTTATGGGATTATAATTCCCAAAATTGCTTTCTACCTGTTTAATGCACTGCTGCTAATCACTAAAAGAGGTCAAATTATTTGAAAGAAAGGAGCTACAGAACAATAAGAGGAGAGGAGTTGTTGAGAGTTGGGTGGCATACAAGTTTAGTATATTATTATTGCTCGCAGAGTCAGCCAGTTGTTTAGACTGGATTTAGCCTTTTTATCCACCTATTGAGTCTATTATTATTATTATTATTATTATTATTATTATTATTATTATTATTATTATTATTCTTCTATATTGACTTGTTTCGGTTGGTGGATCAATTTGCTCAGAACATTCCAATTTTGTAGCATAGAAGGGTGGAATTAAAGAAAAGTAGCTTTTGCTGCAGTACAAAAAGTCCTTCCCTTTGCTTATAGTGGATGAGAATGCATTTAGACCAATTTTGGATAAGTCTTCCCCCACCCCATTCTGAATGTGGAGTTCTTACTCCATCCTCAGAGTAAAATAAAAACCAAATACTCTGTGTGATACTACGTCAGGGACCCTTGGATTGTGCCTTAGTCTTCTACAGCCTATCAGTACCTAAATGCTTTACCAGTGAAGCAAAAACTCCATTTTACTGGCACCTTACACAGATAAGGAGACTATGCAAATAATTTGGCATTGATGACCTTTAAAAATCAGAAATAAGGAGCTAATTAAAAAGTTGTGAAGTGACCTGACATGTATAAATAGAGTTGTTGTCCTACTTAAGGTAGTTTGAGTTCATGTCAAGAAATAATTTGGATGTCATTTTTTGTTAAGTGCAGTTTGCCTATAAAGAATGAAGGAATGGAATGAGATCCAAGGTTCGGGCATTCTCTGCATGGAATTAAGTTCTGTTGTGTTCAGTTGTGCTCAAAAGGATATTTACACACACACACACACACACACAGAGTGAGATAAATTATCTCCATAATTCTGTAGTATTTAATATGAATTCACAACAGGGTCAGTCATTTAAAGAGCTCCTTAGCTGCTTCAAAGAGTTTGGGTCCAAGCTGTACCATTTTGAATATTATATATTATGAAATTTATAAGACTGCCTGAAACCAACCAGACTTGAGCCAGCTTACAGAATTTACATAATAAAAGCAAGAGACATACTCAGAATAAAATTGATTAGAATACTAACTAAAAGTAAGAGGCTAAAACCATGGGATTATAAAAGAAATGGTGTCACAATAAATAATTCAAGATTCAAATGTGCCAAGATGAAACAGAATTAGGGGTTTGGAGACAATATATTTTTGTTTAATTTGAACTGCTTTGAGAGGCAGTGTGATCAGATTCAACCCAAAGTAATCTGACCTTGCTGAGGACAGGTAGAGGAGAATGCTAGTCTAACTACGTAATCTCAGAACGCTAAACAGAGCTGGATTTGATTAGTATTTGAAGGGGAGACCATTAGTATTTCCAGGGCTGTAGTCTCTACTGAGAGACCAAAAAAAAAAAAGTTTAATAGCCTTGCCATCTGCTTCTACTGGATTCAATGTTGTGTTGAGGGATTTCAAGCTATGAAACTGTTTCCCTATATTGTAAGGCAAAGGGGAGATGGCTGCACTAAAATGAATTGTTTGGGAATATGTCACTGGAAATTTCTGAATTGTAACTGCAAGCTTCAGTGCCTTACACTTCTGTTTTAAGATCTAATTTGAGGTCAGTGCAAGACACGTATTTTTAGTATATTAGTGCAACTCTTTTATGTAGCTATTGTTATGTTACTGGCTACTGCAGTATTTGGAGTGACCATGATAGTATTTTTCGTAGCACCCAGAAGCACTGGAATGCCTAGAGTACATCTTAGATTGCTAAATCAAAATCCCAATTAATGCTTGTAATGATCTGCTTTTCCTTATAGATATTGGCTAATCTATTAACCTTCTGTTTATATACTTAAAACAGTCACCGACTACACAGAAAATCTTCTATCACTAAAACACACACAAAATATTTTCACTGAAAATCTGGTCCAGTTCAGATGTAACATGGTGGTATGTTTTAATTTGTTTTTCTTTGTTTCTTAAATCACAGTTTCCCATGTGCAGGTTCATAGGGCATGCTGAGCCATGATTTAATCATGATTTACTAAATAAACTACAATTGGCTGAGTTTACACAAAGTGTCAAATCCAAACCAAAGAATTACATTATGGTGTTAGCCTGAATTATGTCAGAATATTGGATTAATGCTAGGAATACAAGAAGATCACAAGGTAATTTGACGTGGGTTGCACATCATAATTACATTTGGAGTTTATTGTACAGAGTGCTTAATTCACATTGAACAATCTGTCTAAACTGCTTGCATTGACTGAAAAAAAAGATAACAGGTAAATGAGTAGCAATTACCTGAATGCTTTTCTGTGTCAAACACCTTCAGATACAGGTGGAGGACTTGTACAGCTAACAAACTGAATGAATAGCATTTTGTGATTAAGGTTTGTTTCATTTTTCTTTTTCAGGAAAAAATCTTTCCTGTTTTCTGCTCTATATGCTGCCTTTATATTCGGTGGTCGGCATTTAATGAACAAAAGAGCAAAATTTGAACTAAGGAAACCATTAGTGCTGTGGTCTTTGAGTCTCGCAGTCTTCAGGTAAGCTACTTTTAGGAAGAGGTTATTTGTATTTGTTTTAGTTATTAACTGATTTAAGTAAGAAAAATAATTTAGAAGTTAATTCTTTAAAAACCTCAGGTTTATTACCTTTTACAACTGCCTTCCCTAGTTAGGAGTCCTCAGAGACAGGGAGATTTCAGCTCTGAGAATTCCCAGCCAATGTATTTTATAATATGCATGTACCACGATTGCATGGTGCAGTGTTTCTCAACCTTGGAAACTTTAAGACACGTGGACTTCAGCTGACTGGGGAATTCTGGGGACTGAAGTCCACACGTCTTAAAGTTGCCAAGGTTGAGAAACACTAGCATGGTATGAACTGCCTTTTCTGTAGCGGCCCCTACCCTGTGGAGCATCCTTTCCCTGGTGATCCAGCCATAAATGGCTGCTACTTCCCCAAGTGCTGGGGTGGAGTGAGATGGGAACCTGTGGAAGGTGGGAGCATCACAAGACAATGGCTATGGCACCGGAAGGAGGGGGTTGTTGTCTTTTATGGGATTTTTTTACTGTTTTGCGCTTTTATTGTTGTGAGCCACCAGAGTTGTGCTGTAAGATGGGTGGCCATACAAATCTTTTAAATAAATAAAAATAAACTGTCCCCCTGAAAGTTGTATGTCCTTTCAAGCTTCATTAAAGCATATGAGGATTGACTCAGGATTAAGAAATGTCTAAGGGAGTAAGTACATTATTATTTTCGCTGTCTTTAATGGCCATTTGCCTTGTGGATTTAATCTGTTTACCATAGCTTTATTAGAATTCTGCCATTAACAGTCTTGTACTTGTTTACTCAGAATTAACTCACATTGGGATCAATACTGCTTAATCTTGAAGGGATGCATTGTAAAACGAGAGATCATTAGTAGCCAAAAATCAGGAGGAGTCTGGTAGCACCTTTCCAGACTAACACATTTTATTCAAAGGCATAAGCTTTCATAAGCTACAGCTCTCTACATCAGGTGCATGGAATGTGTAGGATGCATCCTAGATTTCTGTTGGATGTCTATATGACTTTTTATTTTTATTTTAGCATAATTCTTATGTTATTAGTTCTATGTTGGTCTATGACCGAAATAAAATTGATTGATTGACTTATTTAAAATATGCTTACATAAATGCAATCTAGTATACAAAGAATTCACACATAGCCACGTATACCCTATGAAATCCTGAAGTTTACATTAATGATTACCAAATTGTAAGTTATTTCCAAGTTACTCAACATGCCCACACAATCTTGGGTGAAATGGATTGTCTAGATCTTTCCAATCTTGCTGCAGGGCACAGATTAACACTGAAATAGCCTTGGATGATGTATAGTTCTTATTAGAAGAAAGAGAGGGGAGTGTAAGACTATTGATTCTTCTTGATCATTGCCGTAATCAGATTAGAAGACATAGTTTCATTTATAATGCTGGATTCATTATAGAAAATTGTATTGCAATATGTCTGCTAGATTCCCTTTGCTCTTTACTGTATAAAGTTGCTTGGAATATGGTTACTAGTCTGCTATTGGCAGCATTCTCATTCCTGTCTAAGGTTGTTCAGTCAGGGTGTTGATTCTTATATCAATGAGATAACAGGCTGGTTGAGGCCTCTGAACTGAAACTGGCAAACTTCTGACAAGATTGAAGAACTATGGGTTGACGATTCATGGTCTAAATTCCTAAACTTCCTCAACAACTTTGGTCCCTCCCTTCCCCAAGTTTTGGCTGGGAATTCTCTTTGATCTAACATTGTCCTTGGAGGCTCAGGAAGGGTACCACAACTGGACTGGAAAAAGCTGGAGAGCCACTAAGTGTTTTCTGTATCACTTTGCTGCTAACTAGTAGTTGTCTGAATTAGCCTGGATATAGCCTTAGAGAAAGCTACATTAGCAAATCCAAAGTAACTAGCAACAAAGCAATTGAGAGAATTGGTTCTCTCATAGAACTAACATAGAACTAACATTTGTATAATAGCATTGGAAAAAAATAACAGCAGTTCATAAGGTGTGTGTTTTCCTTTGTCCTTGCCTGCTTCCTTGGTTAGTGATTCAGTTAGTTAGTTTTACTTTATATAGGTATTGTTTAAGTGTTCTGTTTGTTCCTCATTCCTTCATACAGTGAAATGTTTGAAAAGAAAAATCATGACCATCTTTGCTAACAGGCATGCTAACAGCCTCTGTAAATTTTGTCTCAGATTTGTTTGATTTCAATTGTTTCTTACAGTTAGTGACTCTGGTTTGTTTTTTTCTTTACGGCCACAAAGTATATTTGGTGCTGTTCGAACGGGTGCTTATATGGTATATATATTGATGACCAAAGGACTGAAGCAATCAGTTTGTGACCAGAGTTTTTACAATGGACCAGTCAGCAAATTCTGGGCATATGCATTTGTACTAAGTAAAGCACCAGAATTAGGTGAGTGCCTTTTTTTTATCTTCATGAGACACAATGAAAGCAAAAGAGCAAAGCTGTGTAAGAGTTTACCTTGGTGCTTAAGTGCTTTTTAAAATATTGTGCATCCCCATAACTCTCATATTTGTAATTTTGAAAAATGTTTTCTCACATGAGCCAAATTGTAAAATGAAGAGAATACCAAAAAACTTCAGGAAATTCTTAATCCATGCAGTTTTGATTTGAATTTTAAAGATTTCTGAATTCTATTCTTTATGCTATTTTCCAGCTCTGCCATTGTGCTAGAAAGTAACACTCCCTCCACACAAGAAATGCTTCACCAGCCCAGAGAATGATTAACGCAGCCACAAATTCATAATGTCTTAGTGCTGTGGAAGGTGCCAAATCTTATTACATTTTCTGAAGGGTCAACTCATTAATTGGTTACATTTTTATAGAATAGAAGAAACAAAACAGATTCCATCTGTTCAGTTTGAATACTGTGATGTATACGAAGTTCCTTTAATATTATTCAACACTGTGTGGTTTAGGAAACTCTAGGCTTTTATTTGAGGAGTCTTTTTTTTTTCAAAAAAGTATATTCTAGGGGCATAGTCTGATTGCAAAGCATAACAAAAATATCTGGCCATTGTGCTTCAGAATGAATTGTGATTATTGCAGATATGACGATTATGAGAGGTTGAATGAAAGCAATCATTTATGAGGTTGAAAGATTCTGTGGGGATGCATGTAACCATGTGGCAAATAGTCTGGAAGATTGTTCCAAAATGGCATGGACAATTTTATTATATCCCTGTTTCCAGAAAGTCTGGTTGGGAATCACTCTGATTCACCCAAGCCCTTCCCGAATCTTATAACTAAGCTCATTGCAAACACAGTACAGGTAGTCCTCGACTTATGTCCAATTGTTCAGCGGCCATTCAAAGTTACAGCAGCGCTGAAAAAATGAATGTATGACTGATCCTTGAAGTTCTAGCCATAGCAGCACCCCCACGGTCACATAATCGCGATCCAGGCACTCAGGTATCCAGATCACAAATACGATGTCACAGGGAGCTGTGATCACATGATGGAAATTTGTGACCTGCTGGCTTTCCACAAGCAAAGTCAATGGGGAAACATCAGGGAAGGTCACAAGTCACTCCTGTGAATACCCCAGTTTTCCTGCACTTGTGCTATGCCACACCCTCCACCCCACACCCTGTGCTCATGCTGCACGGCACTCCACCCCATGGCCTTCCTATGCTCGGCTATGCTGCAGCACACACACACCCCGCCTCTCCCACTCGTGTGCTTTGGTTGTGTATTCAAAACTAAGATGCTGTAAGTTTAATTGGAACTTGCAGAGCGCATTTGCATAGTTTTAACAAATCTTCATGGCATCTTTAATATTTAATTATTTTTCTGAAGTGTCATGTAAGGGTTAACATAATGCAGATTCATAAAAAAAAATATCTTCATATGCCTATATGTCAGAGTGAGTTGATCAATAGTTCTGACAAGTGATTTGTTTCATTTGCCCCATGCAGATGACTAATTAACAAGATGCCCTAGCATATACAGCTTACATCCAGGTGCCAGACCTCATGTCCCAGAGACATTCTATCCCATTTCGCTAACCGAGGGGCAGAAGCAGGCCTTTTCAAAGGGCCCTATCCCTTTGTTATTTTTTTTTCAGGTGTTTTTATCCTGCCTTTCATCTTTTTTACTTTGTCTTTCACTCAAGGCAAAGAACATATCTAATACTCCTTCCTCCTCCTATTTTCCCCACAACAACAACCCTGTGAGATAAGTTGGGCTGAAAGAGAGTGACTGGCCCAAAGTCACCCAGCCGGCTTTCATGCCTAAGGCGGGACTAGAACTCCCAGTCTCCTGCCTTCTAGCTTGGGGCCTTCACCACTAGACCAAACTGGCTATTCTCCATCCTGAAATATTCTCTATCCTGAAATCTGTAGTGCTCCATGTCCCTGTCTCTCATAGAATAACAAATTGCTGGCTTTTTAATAGAGCATGATAATGAAGCCAGGGATCGTTTTAACCCTCTTTATGCTCTGCTTTGCTGAAGTGTCAGTGCATATAATGCACATTTTCATGTAAGACAAAGAGAATTCTTTGTTTTTGTTTGTTTTTTGTTCATCATAAAATGAAAACCAGCATGATAGTGCTAACTTATTTCACCTATTTGTTTTCTTTCTCCTTAATTTTGTCTGTATTGTAATTGTAATTCAGGGGACTTTTTTTTTCAAAGGGGTTACTCACACAGGAACAGGGGTGTCCACAGCGATGGTCACTGGCTTTGAAAAGGCTGGCACAAGCATTTGTAACATACATTAGATGCATATAAAAAGAGGCAGGGCTTTGCTTACCTGGTGAGACCACTGACTATCATTGCAGATACCCCTGGATAGATATGCCTCTTCTTACAGGTAAGTTTTGGGTGTTTGTTACCTATTATGCTATTATTTTTCTCTCTAAAGACCTGAAGAGACTAAACAAGGTTAATCAGGGCTGGAGCATATTATCATGATCTCAGAAAGTATATAATTAATTTAGAACATAAGAATTTTCTTTATTGCTATTTAACTGACCTTAATTTAATTATGCTAATACTACAGGAATAATTATTATCCATTCTAGGAGTACTATATAACAGATTGTCATAAAGATGTATTAAAGTGAAGTTTAATAACTTATGAATGTTGTCTTAATTATTTCTTGTGTAACTTGTCCTTATTAAGAAATGTTCATTGAATCTGAGATTAGGGCATTACAGGGATTTTCATTATGATGTGATTATACAAACAAATACAAAAGGACACAAATTAGAGATTTTAAAGCCAGTTTTAAGGTGTCATTGCATTCAAAATATTCCTTTAGGAAATCCTTATTTTTATGTTAAAAAAGCACACACATTTTTAAACTGATCGAATGTTTCAGGGTATTTCAAAGGATTTCCTTGGTGTCTTCTCTTTTCATAGAACTATGTTGCGCAATATACATGTTTATTCTATTCTATTTTTCTTCCTCTCTAGGAGACACAATATTTATTATTCTTAGGAAACAGAAGCTTATCTTCCTCCATTGGTATCACCACATTACGGTACTGCTGTATTCTTGGTACTCATACAAGGACATGGTGGCTGGTGGTGGCTGGTTTATGACCATGAACTATGGAGTACATGCAGTCATGTACACGTATTATGCCTTGCGGGCTGCAGGCTTCAGAGTATCACGCAAATTTGCCATGTTTATCACCTTGTCACAGATTACGCAGATGTTCGTTGGCTGCATAGTCAACTACCTGGTCTTCGCCTGGATGCAACAAGGCCAGTGCCATTCACATGTTTACAACATCGTTTGGTGTTCACTCATGTACATCAGCTACTTTGTGCTTTTCTGTCATTTCTTCTTTGAGGCATACATTGGCAAGACAAGGAAAGCGAGAAAGGCTGAGTAAAGCTAGGAATACTGCTAAGCCACCGCTCAGGTCATCGACCAAACAGGAAACACAAAGCAAAACGAAATGGCACAACAAAAACCATTTATATGTGGTGCAGATAAAACTCAGCAGCTGTGGACAGATAAGTTTGTTCAAACCAATAAATTTATGATCCTGTCATGGTAAGGACTCGCGGAATGATCTTGCATCTTAGCAGGCTGCTGTAAGACATCTTCTTTCTTGCACCTCTTAAAGCAAACATGCATTTAGAAAAAAAGGAAAAGAAGATCAGAATTTTGCAAAACAAAATATTAAAATATATGGTTTCCCTGATCATAGATGACTTTTATTTTAAATGAAATTTATATATTCTTTCTAACTTTTGTTTTTAAAAATACAAAACTTGAACAAAATTTAAGAAGAGGAAACATACAGTCTGTATCCTAGGAATATACAAAGCTGCCTTACGCTGTCAGAGCATGGTTCTTCTAGTTCCATCTTCTCTGCTCTGACTGGCAGCAGTTCCCCTAAGCCTTGGGAAATGCCCTGCAAGTGGAGATCCTGTTTTTTATACCCAGGAATCTAGGGATTAAACTTTGGACCTTTCCACAGGCAAAGCATCTGCTCTCCCATTGAGTTAAGGATCCTCCTCATATAATGCCAGAGTTTCTGCAAAGTGGGGAAAAGCTTCTTCTTGAAAGGGTTGCACTCTAGGAAGCCAAGTTATAAAAACGTAAGGTTCCTATCAAAGCTCTTGTTAGGGCAGCCATTTAAATTCCACTGAAGTACCACATGAGCGAATGGTATCTGTGTGTGCATGAGAGAGAGTACGGATGCCTGTGTTCACATATATTCTGTATTACGCTGTCAGAAGATCTGGTATGAGAGTGAAATTAAAGATGTAGGATGAGACAATAATCTAAGAACTGAATATTCAGAAATGCATTAGGAAGCATTTATTCAAGTGCATTTTCAGTCCAAAACATGACTGAGAATAGTTTAATATTGAGTCAATTAGTTAAATTTGCCGGAGCTACTGATAATGGAAAACAGGAGAAAAAAGGGGGGGTAGGAAATGGTCTTTCACAGCAAGCCAATTTGCAGAGACCTCTTCAGCTACTGTGTTGTAATGGCCAATTCTATTCTACTGTTTCAGATGCAGAGGATGTCTAAAAGTACGATTGTGCAGTTTTCATTTAGTTGGTGTATGTCATCTGAATCACTTATCCAGAGTTATTTCCAAAAGCCAGAATCGTTCAAAATAAGGGAATGCAAGTGTTAGAGTAGGACTGGTCTTTGGAACAAAGTATTCTGCTTCCAATATCTTCTCTTTCTTCCTGTGGATGCCAGTGGAGGCTCACAGCTCATGACCACAAGTCATTGTTAAGAGAACTTGTAATTTCTTTATCATATATCATAAATAGAGATACAGTTTTCAATGGTGTGTGCAGATTGCTGCTCCTGGCAAACAAGTCTAAGAATCCAATTACTGTGAGTGTGGAACCATCATAGGCAGAAAAAAAACAGAAGCTATCCTAGGATAATAGAGCCCTGAAGATACATGATTAAGTGCAATTGGAATGAAAGGTACAAAGACAAGCAAAAATTAGCTTTGGAGAGATGTTAGCATTAGGTAGATCAGGAAAAAAAATACTGTGGTATGGTATATATTTTATATTTTTATGAACTTCAAAGAATAGATATCTGCAACTTTAAATAGCATTTTACAGACTGTATATGACTTTAGTTAACACTGTGCTTCTGTATTTACTTCACAAGCAATGCAAAGATGTTTAAAGTGCCCTCCTGTGGTCACTTGGAGATACTACTCTAGAAGGCAGACAATGCAATCATACTGGAAGCTTTGAAGAAGGCAAATCCTGAATGGAGTAATTGTACTGCAACAAATTAATGTGCAGAAAAACTTCATTCTTACTTTTAAAAAATCCATAGGAAAAATATACTGTAGCATCCTTGATTGCTTAAAAAGACATTTGGTTCTTCAGTCAGCTGCAGATAAAAGGAAAACATATTCCACTCTGAACCTCAGAGAAATAGCTGAAAAGAGCCATATTTTCTACAAAGAAAAAGTAGATTGTATTATCTGTGAGATTTAAGTCTTTACAAAGCCAAATAAAATATATAACATTCCTGATACTTCAAAGAAACAAGTATGTAAATTTAATGTTCCAAGTGTGTTAACATAATATTCTCTCATTTCTATACGTTTGATTCTTTTAAAGTTAGAAGAACTAGAAGAAACAATTAAAAGCTGCTGTTTTACATACAGAATCAAACATACATGTAACTACATATATAACCCTTATATGAGTTGTCCAAAAAATTAATTGGGGCCAAGCAGAATCACTTTTTTTCTAATGCAAAATGTTGTCAACTTTCTTGCTTTAACCTAAGACTGTACAATGCATAAGTAACTTTACCTTAATTTAGCTTCAACTGTGCTGTCTGTCATTCATGACCAATGTAATAATCCTGTTAGACATAAGAAGGGCTTTCAGTGTTTCACAACGTTCAGGAAAACTGCTACATTCTGTATTATGTGAATTGTATTTTAGGGTTGTGGGGGCTGCGGGACTGAGAAGCTCTCTGAGGCTTAATCATAACTGTGAAAAATCGAAAAAGGTTTGTAGCTATGTCATTTAAGTTATTGGTGTTCAGACATTGTTATACATTACAAGAATAACAAAAGATATTAAGTAGAACATAAAAATGTAATAGTAAATTATAGGACTTATAGGGTACATGAACATTCAATTAAAATGTAGACAATGTTATTTGGGTGTGGGAGTAGGATTTGATTATATTCCACAGTAAGTCTTCCTTTGCTTTCTTCTCCCACAACAAATACCTGAAGCAAATCAAAAGCCTGGAAGAGTTGTTGGGAGTAGTACAGGTAGTCCCCAGGTTAAGAACGTTTGGGTTACAGATGACCCATAGTTAAGAACGGAGCCTATTGTAGCAAAATTTGAGTTAAATACACAATGGTTTGAGTTCATTACGCAACACTACTTATACAGTATTATACAGTAATACTGTTCTGGCTTACATACAAATTTGACTTAAGGA